ACAGGGAGACCGAGCCGAGGCGGGCGTTGCTGCCAGTGCGGCCCCAGCGCGGCCGGCAGCGCCGCGACCCGCAGGCGGCAGGGCAGGTAACGGGCGAGGGGCGCGGCGCGGAGGAGGGCTGGGGTGGGCGCCGAGCCGTGGAGCCGCAGCGCCGTCACAGCCTGCCGGCGGGGCAGGGCAGGGCGGGGCGGGGTCCCTGTGCGGAACGGCGCCCCTGTGCGGAACGGCGCTCGAAGGGGCTCGGGGTGGGGAGGGGGGGAAAATCCGCGTTGAACACCGCGTCCCTGGAGCCGCCCGATCCGGTTCGGGGCCCCGAGGGGCTACGTGGGGGCGGCGGGGAGGCGCCTGCCCTCCGGAAGCCGTCCCGCGCTGCGGGCTGGCGGCCGTGCGGCTCTATCGCTGCCGGCACGGAGCGGGGCGGCCCGGCCGGGCTGAGGGAGCGCGGCTCGGAGCCGCTTATCTACTGCGGGAATGCTGGCGGAGTTCTCGCTCTCCTTTATGTGCGTTCCCGTTCTTCTGCCTTCTGCCACTTGTTTGGGTTTTTTTCCTATCGGCGTTCGTCTGGCTTTGGGCGCCCCGTGAAATCGTCGTGGGATAACGGGGTTGAGTTGGGCGTGCGCCGTGGCGGAGCGCTGTCTGGAGGTGCTTCGTCTGTCGGAAAAATGCACCGTCATGAGGTGCTGTGGTGACACTCCTCTGAGGCACAGCGCTGCTTTCGGCGTTCAGGTTTTTTTATTCACTTCTTTTGCAGTATTTGCTTTTCCGACTGTGCTTAGTGCTGAGGTGATTGCCTAAAAGCAGCAAAGCTAAAGGAGTTTAGGAGTTGAGAAAAAAATAGCTTGGAGTTGAATCTGGTTATTTGTGGTATATTTCTGAACTGATAGAGCAGCAGCTGCTCTCTGAGTACCAGGAAAGGAAGAAGTTGGCAGAAGGATCTAGGGAGAAAAGACAGGTAACCAGCACCTAAAAGAACAGCAGAGAAGGTTTGGGAGAAATGAGAACTGGAGTCTTTTGAGTCAGATAGAACTCCGCAGCTACAAAAAACTATGTGGTAGTTCTATGTTCTAGTCCAGTCTCTTCATTGAAAAAGCTGCGTTCTGCTGAGATTCTAGTTGAGAGATGGGAGTGATGGTGTGGCACAGAGCGTCAGCCTGGTGGTAGCTGGGATTTTGCTTTGCGGCTGTCAGCTCAGTCAGGTTGGTGCATGGGGCTTTCTCTCCTCACCTGCAGCATTACCACAGGAGGCTTTGGAGTGCCTGCTAGAACCCCCTGTGCTTCCCTGCTGTAGGCAGGGCACCTGGGGAATCGGTAGTTCTTGCACAGAATTAAGTGGCTGCTGGGGGATGTGAAGTGGAAACCTAACCCAGCACTCTTGTCTGTTGGTAGAAATAGGGGGAGTGATGTAGAAGATGGTCACTAATCTGACAATCGCTTGGCAGGAACAGCAGGTAGAACTGTTAGTTACAACTGGGGGAACTCTGAAGTCGTATTAATAGTAACGGTAACAACAAATCAAAAAAACAAGCATCCAAATGTGGAAAACCCTTAAAATTCTAGAAGTCTCCTAATGAGAAGGGGATCTTTAGCCTTTTTTTTTTTCCTGCAGCGCTTGTGATTTTTGTGTGTGATAGCTGTGACGTTCCCATGAGACAGGCTGATTTTATCTTGAAGGAGGAGGGCTAGGAAAAAGGGGGAGATCTTACGTATAAAAAACTTAGATGTTACAGAGATGTCTTTTTTGTATAATGTGAACTGACGTCATTAAAGTGGTACAGCAAATAGTGGGTGTTCTCTTGTAAAGCCTTCTCCCAAGTGCTTGAGAAGTTGCTCTCGACTGCTCAGGTCATATAAATCTTATGGGGAAGACAGTTGGCTATGTAATCTGTTATATTTATGTGGGATAATGAAAGTTTCAATTATGTCTTAATGTTCCTTAGCTGAGTACTCATATGTCTAGTGTTTAATTTGTCCACATATTTTATTTTTCAAACAGTTTTTAAAGAAAAGCCTGGGATTCACAGATAACATGAGGAAAAACTTGCAAAATATCTTTGAATGCAGTGTACGTAGTTCTTTTCTAGAACATCAGGCAATCTTGAAAATGCCACAGAATTTATGAATATAAGATCTTGAAGATAAAATAAGAAATAAAAACTAAATCAGAAAAAAAACAACGCAATGCAGTGTGTTGTAAATCTTTCTCAGTTACTGTTCTCTGTCACAGTCATAAATTAGGACTGTGTTGCTAAAGACAGGTTTGTTTGATGTATTGTTTCTAATGTCAGGAATCACTTCAGAAAATCTCATCAGACCAGTAAGAAATTCAAAATCCCTGAGCCTTGTCATGCAGCTCTTCCTCATGCTGTGTAAGTGCTTATGGACAGTGATAATGGTGTGATCATTTATTTTATTACTGTCAGAAAATATAAATCCACAGGTTAATGCAATTTCTGAGTGCCTTGAACCTGGCTTTTAGTATGGGCAATATTGCTAACCCAAATTTTTCTCCCCTTTAATTGGATGCAGAGCTGACGCTTCATCTTCTGAAGTGTGAAGTTAAATTTGTTATTGTGTTCCCGTATGAAACTTCTGTATTTTGTAATCCAGCCTTTTGTAATAGAATTTATGTGAAAGATACTGAGCAGAGCTAAAGCAAACAGTCATGAAAAGCATGAACATATGCTGCTCTCTTAAGGTTGTGGTTTGCTTATCTGAAAGAGCTTCATAGAGCTTTCTAGATAACAAGAGACAGTGCTATGCAAAGGTGCAGCTTTTAAATTTAAAAAATCTACTCTTTAGGATTGCACTGCCATGCTCAGCAGTGTGCAGACAGTGAGGTGTTTGATAGTTGAAGAGAGTCTGAAATGAAGGACCAAGAGGTGAGCTCCTCAGTATTTTGGATGGATCTCAGCTTGGCTGCCACCTATGATACTTGATGGTCTGATTCATCTGAATTGCTGTTGTCTGTGTGGGGAATACTATGAAGATGAATGAGAGTTGACCTGAAGGTTTAATTAAAAAAAAATATATATGTATGGTTGGCCATGGTGATGTCAGCGAAGGCAGTTTCACTTCCTTTAAGATGTCTCAGCTTCCCAAAGTGTGCCAAATGCTGACATACAGCAAATCCAGTTCTGATTCAGTTATGCTTAGGTCTTGCAGTCTGTTACCATATGAAAGGACTTCATCTGGGAAAGGGAGTGAGAAGTACCCAGGATGCATGTGAGTTACTTGGTTTGAAGGTAGAATGGCTTTGCCAGTTTCCAGAAGCCTAGTTTTCCCCTCCTCATTTTTTTTGGATCTCAGACAAATATTAATCATATGGACCTTCTGTATAAGCCAGGTCTTTGAGTTGTGCTGAATACTGCTGTTTAGAAACACTGTTAGAAGAGCTGAGTAATGGTAAGATTTAAATGATGTTTGTATGATTTTCATCTTCACGTGAGGAGGGAAACAGCATCATCAGTCCTAGTATTGGATGTGTTTCTCATATGGCATTGAATTTTGCAGCTACTCTTTGTGACTGTCTTGGCATCTTTGGGAAGAGCCGCTAACTTCATACTTCCAGATTTGGGGACTCCTGGGCACTCTGGGTTTGTTTTCTAGTGTAAGTAACAGTCAGTGCCTCAGCTCACTGCTCTGTGCACAAGGGTTCTGCCAGTGAGATTGCATTTACTGCACTACTGCCCTAAGAGCCAGAATTGCTGTGTGCACACTGGTGGTTGTTCCCTGAGGCACTTTGTGCTGGGATGCTCATTTTGAAACCAACCGGCAAAAACATCCCAGAATTTGTTCCTTTTGGAAATGCTGTGAGAGTCACAGCAAGACTTGTGGAAGCTTCTCAGCACTTGGATGCTGTGATGCCCTGACGTGAGAGCTGTGCTCCCCTGCCCCATCAGTACTGCTTTTAGGCTTGGGCAGAGCAGCTCAGCAGGTTGAGGTAACCTGATGGAAAAGAAACCTTTGAACAGCTTTCCTGCTGCCCCCTATTTTTCTTATCTACTACACTAATTGCTTCTAATGTAAGTGATTTGTGTCATTTTCTATTTGGATCAAAATTGAAATGCAGTTTTTGATGGATTTGTCCACATCTAAAGTCATGCATTAAAACTGAAGATGCTTATTCAAAACATCAGAATCACAAGGTTAGAAAGGACCTACAAGATCATCTAGTCCAACCGTCCTCCTATCACCATTGCTCCCCACTAAGTTACTAAACCATATCTTGTATATAGTTAAGACCGCACATACATATGGTTATGACCATACAATACATCAAAACACATTAAACACAGCATTAAAAGTTGATTAAACTGAAATAAATTATATTTGATATGAGTCTCTTTTTGGTGGCCCTTTGTCATGACTGCTGATGTTATGATTGTTGATGTTAGCCAAATTTTAGAAAAGGAGGACTTCGTCCTTCAGACTCTTGATTTCAATTGAGGTTAGCTGAAATAAATACTCAGCCTGCACAGAGAGGTGCTATGCTTGTCAGGCTCTCGT